TATTGATGATGATTTCGTGATGTTTCATTTTTTTTTTGTTTAATTTATATGGGATTTCCTTTTATTTTATTTATGGAATTACAATAATTGGGAGACGACGCGATACGGATGTGGTGGAAGATAGTGTTTGATGAAAACCTTTTACGTTTTACAAAATATTTAAAACTAACAAGCGCCAGATACTTTGTCAGCGAAAAATCCACACTAACATTTTAGATTTGTTCCGACCACATAGTGGTAAGGGTATTATATCTTTGTGCATTGGTTTGTAACATGGAGAAGGAAGCGTGATCGACCCATAGTTACTACTGACGATCTTTATAAAATCACTTTTTGAGACGATTTATACATATTAGTCCGTCTGTCCATTTATTTTTGTGAAAAAAATGCGGGTCGCCTATATTATCCGATTGGAGAGGAAATTTTCCAAGTAATATTTGTTTGGCCCAAGGAAGAAACCTATTTAAATTGATGAGAATCGGCTCAAATTTAGATATAACTCTCATATATATCTTTATCCGATGTCAGGTTTTTTGTGCACCAAATTGCCAAAATCAATCCAAATTACTTGAATTTTGGCACTTCCAACGGAATTCAGCCTAAAAGCAAGTGCTATAAAATTTGGTAAAAATCGGTTCAGATATAGCTATAGCTCCCATATATATGTTTCCTCCGATGCGCGGTTCTATGTTCCTTACATGTATAATATGCATTCCACAGCACTGATCTTTGGTAACAGATATCAGATACAGCCCAGAAATACAGTGTGAGATAAAATGAAAATTGCAACAAAATCAAACGCCATAATTTCTAAATTTTATTGAATGAGTGCAAAAATGTCGGAAATAACATCAAATTTTAGAATAAGTTTAGATTTGTTCGAATTGGTCACCTTTGGCACGAATTATGGCCTTCAAACGGCCAATGAAATCGTCACACGCGGCCCGAATATTGCTCTGCGGTATTTTGGTCCATTCCCGGCGAAGCGCTTGCTTGAGCTGATCGACACTTTGGTATTTTTTAGTTCCAACTTTCCAAAACACTCCAGACAAAGTAGTCAAACGGATTAGTATCCGGAAATTTTGGTGGCCGTTGTGCGCTAGAAATGGAGCAAGGAACCTCATTTTGTAACCATTCTTGGGTTGCGCGTGCTGAATGCGATGGTGCTGAATCCTGTCGGAATATCCAAGGTCTGCGGCCAAAATGTTTGCGTGCCCAAGGCTTTAATACACCTTCCAGAATATTTAGTATTCGACATTTATTCTGATCGACCATCGGCTATTATGGCGGCCCACACCATCGCCATGGCCGGCGCTTCAGTTCTGGTGGCCAACCGAATGCGTCCATTTCCAGCTGACCTCTTTAGCAAGTAAACACGATCATTTTGTTTGTTTACAAACTGTTGGACAACGAATGTTTTCCGATCGGAGAAACCCAAATTCGGCAGTTCACCACTTTCGGCCAAGCGAAGCAACTCTTTAGCTCTTTTTAGCCTATTTTCTTTCTGTTTCTGTTTCAGTGTAAGTTCTTGCGCTCATTTTTCAATATTTTCCGAATGGAATAAAACGATATTTTAAGCTCACGATCCATTATTCGGCGACTGCGATGTGGGTTTCGATCAAGTCGCTTCTTTACTTTTCGAACCATTTCTGCTGATGTTGCGTTTTTCTTCTCACCAAAATAGCTCTTCCGACAGATAGATATCCTCAGCATTTGACCATTTATGTTTAGGGGGTGATCTACCGTACATATTGGACCTACACATCCCATCCCTGCACTAGATCTTATGTTTGTACATATATGGCAATGTGTGATTTTTGAAGATAAATGGGAAATACGTTCGTATTTTATGACAATTAAAAATTATTAAAAATGTCGACTCTTTGTGGGGAAGGTAGCCGAAGGAGTGCCCATCTCATCTCTAAATTATCAAATGAATTATACCCTGTGACAACGTATCAAATGAATTATACCCTGTGACAACGTATGTCTAAGGATATTAAAAAACATTTGTTGCACTTAAATAATCATGATTAAATGATTAGTTGACGTATCACATATCAAAAGTATTGACGCATACATTCAAAACCACATGAGTTAAAATGCAGGTCACAAATTACAATTTCCACTCAAACTATCTAATCTAAGCCTTGGAGAGCAGCACTCAACAGAAGTTTTTTTTCTTGAAAGTGTTACGACATTTCTGCGATAAACGTGTTTCATTTCACTAAAGATTGGCTTATACAAATCCGGTAAAATTATGGATATGTTAAAGCATGGACATGTGATCATATTGTTGTGTGTTACAAGAAAAAACTAATGATTGGACGATGATTGACCGGTAGCAAGAAAATAATATATGCAGAATAAATACAAAAGACTTAAGACACGAGGGGGAATTTGATCAGATGTTTGCTTTAAAATTGGTTGATGCTTGGCAAATATTCCTGAAAAAGTAACGCTAGGACTCATGTGTCCCCTAAAATATTTCATTAAAAAGGCGATTTCGAACCAAGTTGGCCCTAAAAATATATATATTTTTAATAACTCCGTTCATTCAAAAATTTCGTTAGGAGCTTTGAGGATCCTTGCTTTTACCTTCCACCATTGAGAAAGTATGACTTTTAAAAATATGTCTTCAAGTGCCGATAATCGAACTTTCATTTCAAAACTATGTAGGGGAAAAAGCAAGTAGCTAAAAATTGGCCTTCTAATGTAAACATTTTAAAAAGGAAACAAAATTTTCCACCGAATTTTACCACTACAGAATTCAACTACCAAATTTTTAAAAATTTCTATTCTAAAATGAGGCCAAATTTTTTAACATACCGAAACGTGGAAAAATAAGACTAAGCCCCCAAAAGTTCCTTAAGCCAGGCGGTAGCGTTATATGGAGGCTACACCAAATCAAGGTCCACTATGGAATACACTTTTTATCATTCTACTCCATTCCATTCGAAAATTAGACAAATTTTCATAGACGGAGAGATGGCCGTGCATAAATCGACATAGAATTTTATGCTGATCTCTCAAAGAGTAACATTAGTCAAAAAATGCGTTTTTTTATGCTCTCAGTCATAGGACTACAAAGGATAACGGTAACGGTTTCAGAATTTTCGTAAAACAACAAGAAAGGATCATCCAAATTGAGTTGATTGACACTTTGGTATTTTTTAATGCCAACCGTGCTTTCCAAAAAAATACTAAAGACACAATAGCCCAACGGATTGGTATCCGAAGATTTTGGTGGCCATTGTGCGCTGGAAATGAAACGAGGAACCTCATTTTGTAACCATTCTTGGATGGCGCCTGCTGAGTGCGATGGTGCTGAAGCCTGTTGGAATGTCCATGGTCTGCGGCCAAAATGTTTACGAGCGTAGAGCGACCATCGGCTGTTATCGCCGCCCACATCATAACCATGGCCGGCGCTTGAGTTCTGGTGGCCAACCGAAGGTGCACATTTTCAGCTGAACTCTTTGGCAAGTAAACACGATCATTTTGTTTGTTTAAAAACTGCTGGACAACGAATGTTTTCTCATCGGAGAAATCATTCGGCAGTTCACCACTTTAGTCCAAGCGAAGCAACTCTTTAGCTCTTTTGAGTCAATTTTCTTTCTGTTGCGGTGTAAGTGCTGAATGCTATGGTGCTGAGTCCTGTTGGAATGTCCATGGTCTGCGGCCAAAATGATTGCGTGCCCAAGGCTTCAATAAACCTTCCAGAATATTTTCGCGATAATATTCGGCATTTATTCTGATTGTTTACAAACTACTGGACAACGAATGTTTCTCATCGGAGAAACCCAAATTCGGCAGTTCACCACGAAGCAACTCTTTAGCTCTTTTGAGCCTATTTTCTTTTTGTTGGTGTGTTCTGTTCTGGCACTTTTTGGAATTTCAATGACTGTATCCCGAGCTCATTTTTCAACATTTACCGAATGGAATATTGCGATATGTTCAGTTCGCGAGTCATTTTTCGGCCACTGCGACGTGGGTTTCGATCAAGTCGCTTCTTTACTTTTCGAACCATTTCTGCTGATGAGCTGTCACTGAAATAATTTTAACCGCTGTCGGAAGAGTGTCTTCGAAATGACAGCAGTCTGATGTTGGTTGCAGTTTTTCCATCTCACCCTGTATTTATAACTCTTATATAATGTGAAATAAGATTGTCATCTTATTGTTATTAAATTTCACACATCCCAATATGTTTATTAACACAAGATCTGGTGTGAGAGTAGGATATATTGGCCCTCTCCTTCTGGTACCTCCCCCACTGAGGGCCAAAGTTTTGAATAATTATATCTCTCATAAATAAAATAAATATCAAATTATCTCCCAATCTCACACATTCCAATATTTCTATCAACACAAAGCCAGCTGTGAAGAAAAAAAATGTCGGACTACTCCTTCTGGTGCCTCCCCCACAAGGGGTCAGTTTTTTTTTAATAAGTATATCATGTCGGTTGCTTTAACGTTCCTTATAGAAACTTATGTCACCAGTTTTATTAGTCCTTAAGGAAATATTCATATAAAATTCGAAATATCTCTAAAACTCCGCGTTTGTAGCTCTGTAGGTCCTTGTAAACATATTTTAATGACTCCACGGTTTCGGCACTGTGTACCCTTCAAAATGTCAAAAAAATCAACGTCTGTAACTTTCCAGGCCTATATTTTCTTAAAAATCCACGTTCAATGCTATGGTAATACTCGAATTTATATTCTAAAAATTCATGTTTGTAGCCCCGAATGTCCTTCATAGATTATGTAAAAACACACTTTTTGCAGCTCTGTGTTTTCTTTATTAAGATAATTCAGAAAAAAATCCAAATTAAGAGCTTTGTAGGTCCCTGGAAATCTCTTCCTAAAACATACTTCTCTCACCCACAAAATTCTCTTAAAATATCCACGTTTATATCTCTAACCCTGGCTAAACCGTTATCACGTTTTATTTATGTCTTGCATATTTTTTTATAATACGTTTATGTTTTTTATTTTCATTACAGGTGTTAACCTCAAAATCGACAAACTTAAAATAGCAACAATTCTGCTGACTGACTTTTGTAATTAAAATCGAAAGCTATTCGACGCTGAATAACATGTCCACCAACTCTTGTGATTGTTTGGTGGGGGTGCCGACCGGACCGACATTGGCGGCAACATGCGGTGGCAGTGCTTTTATGTTGTTTATGGGTCTGTTGGAGGTGTTTGTGCGGTCGCAGTGTGATCTTGAGGATCCTTGTGGTCGGGCTAGTTCAAGGGTAAGTTATGGAATAAAACAATAAAGACACAAAGCAAAACCTTTCGCATGGGGTTACTCCCATAACACCCCCTTCCCACCTGCCGTAAAATTTTATACCTCTATTTCACACAATTTTCATTTTCCTACCTTCCCTCGCAGTTTCGTTCCGAACCCGATTATGAATATGATTTTGTTGTGATTGGTGGCGGCTCAGCCGGCTCTGTGGTTGCCTCACGTCTATCCGAAGTGGCCCAATGGAAGGTGCTGTTAATTGAAGCCGGTAAGTAGTGTGTGCTTCTTTTTTTTTCTTTTTTGCTTTTCCCCCACTTCTGTTTTGATTCACAAGCAGTGGGTATTTTCCGAATATGCCGCTAATGATCAGACCAGACCAAAAGCAAAAACAAACTATGCAACATGACGGTTTTTTCTGTTTTTTGTTGTTACTGCTACTGCTATCAGATTTTTTTCTACAAATTTATGTGTTACCACATGAAAAACATGCGAGTCGGATTTTTTTGCAACAACAAAAGCAAAAACAAACATGCCAAAGAGGCATGCACCTCTGACGCATTGGAACAGTGATATTCGTCGACTTATAAGATTTTTTATTGGAAAAAAGAACTTAGTTTCTAATGTTATTTTTTTGGAACACCTTATTAAAGGACCCGCAGATGTAGCAAAATGAGAGATTTTAGGACCAGGAGAATACAACGTGGATTTTTTATGAATGTTTAAAAGAGTCAAAAAGCTACTAACGTGGCTATATGACTATTTTTCTAGGACCTTTCGAGCTACAAACTTGGATTTTTGAGACTATTTTTACAAGGACCCACAGAGGTGCAAGGTTGGGATTTTTATGGATATTCTTATAAGAACCCAGAGAGCTACTAACGTGATTCTTTGAGAAGATTTTTATAAGGACCCACAGAGCTATAAGGGTGTATAAAGACAAATTATTCATGGATCTTTAGAGCTATTAATGTGTGTTTTTTGTGAGTTTTTACAAGAACCCACAGAACTACAAGGGTGGACTTTTTAAGACTATTTTTGTAGGACTCACAGAGATACAAATGTGATCCTTTGAGAACATTTTTATAAAGACCCACAGAGCCACAAGGATGGACTTTTTAATATTATTTTTGTAGGACCCAGAGAGCTACAAACGTGATTCTTTGAGAAGATTTTTATAAGGACCCACAGAGCTACAATGGGGACTTTTTAAGACTATTTTTACATGGACCTATAGAGCTACAAATGTATGTTTTGGTGAGTTTTTACAAGAATCCACAGGACTACAAGGGTGGACTTTTTAAGACTATTTTTGTAGGACTCACAGAGATAAAAGGGTGGACCTTTTAGGACTATTTAATGGCACCTCCAGAGCTACAAACGTGGCTTTTTAAGACGACTTTTACATGGACCTACAGAGCAACAAATGTGTTTTTTGTGATTTTTACAAGGACCCACAGAGCTATAAGGGTAGATTTTTAAGACTATTTTCTATCGGCTACAGAGCTACAAACGTGGATTTTTTGATAATCTTTTTACAAGGTCCTACAGTGCTACAAATGTGGATTTTTAACAAGGATCGCAGAGCTACAGATGTGAGTTTTTTCAAGAATATTTTCAAGAGGACCCACAGAGCTACAAACATGGAATTTTCAGAAAATACACATATCTACAAATGTGGATTTTTATACCCTCAGCCATATGGCTACAGAGGGTATATGTATCATTTAATACGGCCAAAACGTGCCAAGTCGAAATAACGGTTTTAGACCCCAGGTGTCTTTGGACCAAATCCGTTTCAGGACATTTGGAGTCGATCTAACGATGTCCGTCCGTTCGTCCGTCCGTCTGTCTTGCTGACTCTTGAAGGGATTATACGATTTGATCCAAAGTTGGTACATCGTAATATTGTTGTCAAACTTAGATCGAGCTCGGAGATGGGCACTATCGGTCCACTCCTCCTGGTATCTCCCCCACAAAAGGTCGACATTTTCAAAAAATATTTTACTGCCCAGAAAGAGGAAGGGTTATCCTATTTTACTCAAACTTTGCAAATCCTAATATTTGTATCAGTGGTAGGTCAGGTGCAAAAAAGGACAATATTAACTATATATCTCCACTCCATCAATTACCTCCCCACAAAGGGTCAACATTTTGAATAACTATAACTCTTATAAAATATGATGCAAGTGTCCGATGGTCAATATTTTTATTAACCCAAGATGTGGTGTGAAGATTGAATATATCGGTCCACTCCTTCTGGAGCCCTCCTCACAAAGGGTCAAAAATTTCGAATATCCATGAAACTCATAAAACGCGAAATTAACATCCACTTCCATTCAGACTTTGCACATCTCAATATTTCTACTAACACAAGGTGTGTTATAACAATGGTAGAGATCGGACCATTTCTTCTGGTACCTTCCAGCAAAGGGTTAATGTTTGGAATCTGTCATAACTTGCGAAACCAGTCAACGATCCTTTACAACTTGCTACATCAAAATATATCTCTCAACCAGAAACCTGAGATATTTCCTTCGGATCCTTCCATAGAAGGTCAACAATTAAATAATCATAACATAAGTCAAAATATATTTAAATAATCGAACAATGGCTAAGGGTATATATCCGTCGGCAAAATCGAATCATACTTTTTGAATTGCTAGCCCTACTTTCAAATCCTTTGGTTTTTCCCCGTAGTTAATATTTTTGTTGCATAGTGTTATAAATAAACTACGGAGCTTTTAACTTAGCCTTTTCAAGGAACTACAACTGTTGATTTAAAGGAAATTTTTCGAGGGGCCATTATAACTTGAAACATAAGGGAATTTTAAGGACTCGTAGAGCTTCGAATGTGTTGTTTTTTTCCTTTTTTGTCCAAAATCTATTTTCCAAAACAAAAAGCTTATTTCAATATTTTCTAAAAAAAAACAGTAAAATAGTTGTAAGTTCGGCCGGGGCTTATATTGGGGCTTTACCAAAACGTGGACCTGCAAAGACAATTTTCTGTCACAGACTGTAGTATCCATTACGAATACCAATAATGTCGCTAAAATTATCAAAACACCGAATATTGGGAGGGACCGTTATATGCGGGCTATATGAAGACGTGGACCTGCGAAGAGGCTGTAAAACCCATTACGAACTTCAAATACCAAATTTTAAACATTTCCGGCGAATAATGTCGCTAACATCACTAAAATACCGAAAATAAGGAGGTACCATTATATGGTGGCTATACCAAAACGAGGACCTTCATGACCCATTTTCAATACCAAAAGTCCTGCATACATAATATACATTTGAGTAAAATTTTATCAACCTACTTCATTTCGTTCGGAAGCTAGAGTGATTTCCACATACGGACAGATCGCTAAACCGACATAGAATTTTATACTGATCAAGAATATATATACTTTGTGGGGTCTAAAATGTATATTTCGAGGAATGACAAACTTAATATACCTTCCATACTATGGTGGAGGGTATAACAATTCGAAAAAAAATTCCATCCATACCACAGTACATCCAACTAACCAAACAAAAAACTAAGAACTAAGCGAACATTACGAACATTTGTCGGTGTGCAAGACACGCAACGCGTAAAAACGCATAACAAAATCCGCTCAACTCGCAATCCATATGGTCAGGTGATGCCAACAAGTGTCACGTAATTCAAGTCGCTCTCGCTTGAGCTGAGCTTAGCCAAAACTAAATGTGAACACAATTTGTCGGCTTATGGAGAAATAGACAGACCAAACGACAAAGAAGCCTGCCTATCACTTAACGGCTTTTTAGATTGATGTCTGAACAACCAGTCGGACGGACGGACGGCCGGTTGCTGATAAATTGTGGCCAACCGTTTTTTTTTTCTTCTCCCCATCAATGTGTTATTAAATAAAGTAATATCACATTTATAAACGACATTATCGGCAGCAGCATCGCTTGTAAAATGTCAGCTATTCATCAGAAACAAAACAAAGCAGCTCATCTGCTGGAGAGCCTTTAAGAAGATGTTGGGATTTTTCAAGACCATTTAAGGTATTATTTAACGGCCACAGTGATTTTGTTGTAAATTGGCATTTAAGCAAAAAACAAAGACGAATTTAATTGATCAACTTCTGTTGCGAATTTAGAAACAGGCTGGCCACAAGCTCATTACACAACCACTCAAAGAGAGAAAGTAGAAGTATTACACCATCCCACCCCCCCTGCCAAATGATATTTAATAATGCCAAAATGTTGCAATTAAAAAAAATGTGATTTACATGGATCTCAACACGCATCTGATGATTGTGACAAACCGGCATTCACTAAACATTCACTTTTTGGTCAAGAAACAACTTTGAGGTTGGTTGATCCAACAATTGATCTGGTGGATTGGGATTTCTTTGATTAAAGTGAGAGGGAGGAGAGGTAAAAGAAGCAGTGGACCAAAATGTTACATCTTTATACGATATATTTGACCTTCTATGAGGGAGGACGTATTAGAAACAATGAGCTACTATTTATCGGGTAGCATGTGTCCGCTACTTCGTCAACGAAAACTTTTTTCATTCTTTCCAACAGTTCGTGTCAGGTCTTTTTATACCATTCACCATACATAGTATGGAGGGTATATTAAGTTCGTCATTCCGTCCGTATGTCCGGACATCGGGTAGACCCCCCCCCCCCCCAATCTTCGGAGTTTTAATGATTTTAGGGACATTATTCACCGAAGTTGTTTCAAATGTCGTATTTTGAGTTTGTAATGGGTACCACAGCCTATAACAAAAAATTGTGTGTGCAGGCACACGTCTTCGTATAGCTTCCACATACCAGTACCTCCAGATATTCGGTATTTTAATGATTTTAGCGACATTATTCACCGGAAATGTTTCCAATTTGGTATTTGAAGTTCGTACTGGATACTATAGCCTATGTCAGAAAATTGTGTGTGCAGGTCCACGTCTTCGTATAACCCTCATATAACTGTACCTCCGATATTCGGAATTTTGATGATTTTAGTGACATTATTCACCGAAGTTGTTTGGAATTTCGTATTTTGAGTTTCTAATGGGTACCACAGCCTATAACAAAAAATTGTGTGTGCAGGCCCACGTCTTCATATAGCGGTACCCCCAATATTCGGAATTTTGACAATTTTAGGTACAATATTCACCGAAATTGTTTGAAATTTCGTATTTTAAGTTCCTAATAGGTACCACACCCTGTGACAGAAATTTTTTTACGAAAGTCCAGTTTTTCGTATAGCCCCCAAATAACGGTACC